AAGTTCTGACAGGTCTGTAGTGTCTCAGGTTGGAAATGGGGGTGTGGATTCTATTGCCATCTGTCAGAGGTGGGACAGTTCTCCTCTGTTCATGGGGCAGTTTTTTCTTTATCTCTCCCACAGCCAATCCTCCCTCCAGGAGATCTCTGCTGTCCATGGCCACTGAGTGTCCCTGCATGGCTGAGAAAATTCCATCATCCATGGGGAGACGCTGTGCCCAGGGGAGGAGCCAACATTCCTACCTGGATCCAATCTGACCTGGGAACAGCACAGCAGCCTTTGCCCCCTGCATTCCCAGAGGAGCAGCTTCCTTCCCCCTGCATTCCCAGAGGAGCAGCTTCCTTCCCCCTGCATTCCCAGAGGAGCAGCTTCCTTCCCCCTGCATTCCCAGAGGAGCAGCTTTCTTCCCTCTGCATTCCCAGAGGAGCCCAGGCCCATCTCCCCCAGCCCTGGAGCTCCAGAGGAAAACTCCCCCCTTGTGCAGATCCTGCTCCAGCAGAAGCACAGCTGGCACTGCAGGAGGCTGAGCCACCCTGGGATGGGGCTGAGCCACCTCCCTGACACACAGGGGGACAGGGCATGTTCTGACTCTGGCAGTGGGGGTTTTTTAGGTTTGATTTTTTTGTTGTTGTTTTTTCTTTTTTTTTCTTTTTTTGTACTATTGAATTTGTATTTTTTAAATTTCCTGGTAAAGAACTGATATTCCTATTCTCATATCTTTGCCTGATTACAATAATGCAGAGGGAGGGGGTTTACATTTTCCATTTCAGGGGAGGCTCCTGCCTTCCTTAGCAGACACCTGTCTGTTCAAACCAAGACACTGGAGGAAATCAGAGTAGAGATTCAGAGGGTGGGACTTACAGTTCCATAGAGCTTATCAGATTAATGTTCATCTCCTCTGAACTTTGGTAAAGCTAAAAGTTCTCAAGTCTCCAACTACCATTCCTTAGCACTCAGAGCTCTCCAGCCACTCTGAAATATATTTGGCCTCTTGCTAAGATGGTCTCAATTCTTTGCCCTGTATTGTATCCATGGAGAACGGCCAATCTAACTGACTGATAAATGCAGTGGGCCCTTGCATGACACTTTGTCAAATTGCTCTTGAGAAATCTCCCTCATTAGAAGCCAGCTATAGCAGTAAACAATCTTGGGAACCTTTTGTGTGAGCTTTTGTGTAGAAACACAGAGCAGGGCTGGCATTCCAGACCAGGAGAGAAAAGCTTCTTTCTTTACCTGTTTCATTAAATCCCATATGAAAGCATTCATGAGCACAGCTGCAAGGCCAGCTCTCAGAGCTGTCAGAGCTCACACTAATGACACAAATCTCATGCTGTTAATGCACAGCACAGACCTACAACACTGTGTAAGGATGTACAAGCCCTCACTTAACTGCAACAAGGTTCCCAATGTCATCCACATCCTTTGGGATATCTTTCCATTATATCAGCTGCTCCCAGAGCTGATGTAAGAAAAGCAAATCTCAAATAAACACGATTATTCAGGAATTTGGAGACAACTCCTCATGCAGCAGATGCCTTGTAGTTCTTCCATACTTGTCTCTTCATTTTTGTGTTTTAGGAATGAAAGGATTCCTTTTTCCATCTTTTCCAAGCACGTAGTCAACCCCGAAGCTGGTGGAAGAATGGACAAGTGACCTTCTCTAGTCTTCCACTACAAAGAGATGGACACAGGCCCTTTGTGGGCTGAGATGTGAGCGAGAGCTGCACCCACAGTCTCCTGTGTGCTTCCTCCAGCAGTGGCTGTGCCCCAGAGAGAGGAGCTCCCCAAAGCCCAGGATTTGCTGTGTCAGGCTCTATCAGCTGCTGGGCAGTCACTGTGAGGAAGGAGCCATCTGACTTCCTCACCAGAGCAGGACAATGGCCTGTTTCCATGAGCAAAAATTCCACCAAGAAGCCAAAGGAGGGGAAGGTGGAAGCTGCCTCAGCGCCCTGAGCTGTCCCTGCAGAGCTGACAGTGACGCTGGGGTCACAAACCTGCAGGATGGCTCTTGCCAAGTTCAAGGAGCATCTTTTAGTCCAATTCCCTCTGCATGTCCAATTCCAGCTCTGGCATGTGCTGGGGTAGCTGTTGGACTTGATAATCTTAGAGGTCTTCATCAACCTAAACAATTCAATGAATTCATTTCAACAGCAACTGAACAGTTTCAAGCAGGTGAAGTGTGAAATTTGCAGAATTGAGTAGGACAGGAAATGTACCTGGGAGAAGTTCAGCTGATGGTGCCAGGACTTTTCACCCGCCAAGGAGCCGCTCCTGCCATTGCTCCAGTTCCTCCCTCTCCCGATGCAAAGGTCAGGAGAGAGAAGAGCCTCGGGATCCTCGCAGGGGTGGCTGCCGGGGTCTTTCGGAGCCGCCTACCGAGCTGGGTCTGTCTGGGAGCATTCAGGGCCGTTTGCCACCTCCGGCTTGAATTCTCAGGGCGCCCAAAGCCCTCGGCGGTGCCGGGCCGGTGCCGGGGAGATGCCGGGGCTGTACCGGTGCCGGTGCTGGTGCCGGTGCCGGGGCTGTGTCGCTACCAGGGCAGTACCGGGGCTGTGTCGGGGCAGTACCAAGGCTGTAACGGGGCTGTACCGGTACCGGAGCAGTGCCGGAGCAGTGCCGGGCTGTACCGGGACGGTGCCGGGGTGGTGCCGGGGCAGTACCGGGACAGTGCCGGGGCTGTGCCAGGGCTGTACTGGGGCTGTGCCAGGGCGGTGCCGGTGTCAGGGCTGTGCCAGGGCGGGCCGGTGCCGGTGCCGGTGCCGGGGCAATGCCGCGGCTGTACCGGTGCCGGGGCAGTGCCGGGCTGTGTCAGGGAGGTGCTGGGGCGGTGCTGATGCCGGGGCTGTACCGGGGCTGTACCGGGGCTGGACCGGGGCTGGACCGGGGCTGTACCCGGGCGGTGCCAGGGCTGTACCGGGGCTGTACCGGGGCTGTACCGGGGCTGTACCAGGGCGGTGCCCGGGCTGTAACGGGGCTGTACCGGGGCAGTGCTGGGGCGGTGCCGGGGCAGTACTGGGGCAGTACCGGGGCTGTACCCGGGCGGTGCCGGGGCTGTACCGGGGCAGTACCGGGGCGGTGCCGGTGCCGGGGCAGTACCAGGGCGGTGCCGGTGCCGGGGCTGTACCGGGGCTGTACCCGGGCTGTACCGAGGCTGTACCGGGGCTGTACCGGGGCGGTACCGAGGCTGTACCGGGGCTGTACCGGGGCGGTACCGGGGCAGTACCGGGGCGGTGCCGGTACCGGGGCTGTACCGGGGCAGTACCGGGGCTGTACCGGGGCTGTACCGGGGCTGTACCGGGGCGGTGCCGGGGCGGTGCCGGGGCTGTACCGAGGCTGTACCGGGGCGGTGTCGGGGCTGTACCGGGACTGTACCAGGGCAGTACCGGGGCGGTGCCGGGGCTGTACCGGGGCTGTACCGCGGCTGTACCGGGGCTGTACCCGGGCGGTACCGGGGCTGTACCGGGGCTGTACCGCGGCTGTACCGGGGCAGTACCGGGGCTGTACCGGGGCTGTACCGGGGCGGTGCCGGTGCCGGGGCTCTCTGCTGCCATCTCCTGCCGCTCCCGGCCCCGAGACCGGCCCCGCCTGGAGGAGCCCGGAGAGCCCCAGCAAAAGCATCCCCAGCGGTACCGATTACCGACATCCTTAGGGCAATAACCAACCGGGGCATGGTAATGTCGCTGAGTCAGAAGGAGCTCTGGCTTTTTAAAATTTAAATTATTTTCGTTTAATTTAAATTAAATTTAAATTGGTTTAATTTTATTTAAATTCTTTTAAATTCAATTTTATTTTATTTTAATTTATTTTAATAATAATTAATTTTATTTTAATAATAATTTATTTAATTAACAATATTAAATTATTACTTTTTTGTTTTCATAATTTAAATTATTATACTATAACAAATTAAAATATAATAAATATAATTAAATCAATATAATTTAATAATTTGATTTTTTTTTCTAGTACGCTCTTAAGTTGCCCCGCTGGAAGAGTAATTTCCAGCCGTACCTGTAGCTATGTGTAAGAGCACAAGGAGATGATGTACTGGCAGATAGGGGAGAAGCTGCTGTATTTCCACAGCCTTGAATGACACCTGGTTCCTGATGCCCTGGGCTTAGTGACCCCCAAGAAAACATTACATTTAGCGTAAAACTGTTTTTAAAACTTCCAAAATTATAAGATAAAACTAAAATTATGAATGTATAATTTAAATAGAAGTGTAGAATATCACATAGTATAAAACTTAAAGTTTAAAGTTTTAAAATATAATCATATAAAACAAAATAAAATTTTTAAAACAGAAACTAATCCTTCTTCACCTTCTTCTTCATAAGTTTAAGAAATATTGTACAATTAAATAAAAAAGTCCACATTACAAACCACAAGTAGTGAGTTATTAAGTTTAAAGTAAAAATAATTTCAGTATCATTTCTTAATTAAAGAGGTTATCCTTTAAAAGCCTTATAAAAAATACATCTCCACTTTTAGTTTGTTAAAGTACTGTAAAACTCCCAATTTGTGAAACTGTAATATAAATAAAAACTAATAAACATCTAAATCCAAACAAAAAATACCATCTCACACATTTAATCCCAACCCCAACAAAAAGAAGACATAAAACTCAATATTTAGTGTTTGTTTGAGGAGTTCCATGGAGTTACCTGCAGGTGAATGCTGGCAGCCAGCCCTGGCTGCAGCACACATGGAAACTGTGGCACCACCAGCACCTAAAAAACAGGCAAAGGACTTTTCCAAGGCTATTGCAGGGTTATATAAACATACAATGTAAATATTTTGTTATCATATTTACCCAGATTACCCAATAATATCCGTGCTGTAACTCTGTAAATTGTGTTTATTTACACTTGCATGCTGAACCAGCAGAGAGGCTTGAAGCATTGCTGTGGTTACTGAAGGATGATATTATTTTTCCTCTGTTATTGGGAAAAAAGCCAGAATCGTTCCCCTCCCTTCTCCCCCTACAGTGTAGAGTTGTGAGAGACTTGAGTCCTCTCTATTGCTTACATTGACCAAATTTCTTGTATTCAGGAAAAAAAGTTGGGTTCCAGCTTTAGGAGGAAAACTCTTTTACCAAAAAATCTACTCAGCAAAGCAGAGTTAAGCAGCTGAAAAACTGAAAAGCAACAGCAAAGGACTGAAAAGTACCACCCGGAGAAAAAGTTTGTTATGGTGACTTTTTTTTTTTTTTTTTATGTATAGTGTTTTTACTATTAATGGATGGATGGATAGACTGCTTTTAGGATTTATTTTTTTTTAAGGATGTTCTTCTAAGAGGAGAGAAAAATAATAGTTCAGTTTTTTATTTTTTGGGACCACAGTCCCCCCCTATTTTCCCCTGGGGCCGGGGGTTTAAGAATAGAGTTTTGTTTTGGTTTGGTTTTTTTTTTTTTAGGATAGGGGGCACTACTATAAACTTTTTAACTTTTGTTTGTTTGTTTTACTTTTGTTTGGTTTTTTTTTAGTTGAAGCAGGTTTTTTGGTTTATTGGCATCTCTTTAAAATATAGGTTTTTTTGGAGGAGAAAATTGATTTAGCTGGTGGTTATTAAGAAAAAAAGTTTAGCTAAAAGCTACTTTTTTTTTTTTTTTTATTTAGAATTTGAAAGAGGGAAAGAGGTTAACAGCAAGGAATGAGGAATGCCGAGCAGCAGGAGAGCCATGAAGCAAAATGAGTGTGAGTGTCCAGCAGCAGTGGGGCAAGAAGCAGAGAGTGGATGGGAGAAAAGAGCAAGCAGTGCACCTGGAAACACACCCTGCCCTCAATTCCTTCTCTCTTTGCTGAGTGTGGGTGAAGGATTGGGATGACTTCCTCCTGGTTATAAAAATTGTTCTTGTTTCCTGACTGAGGTCTATTTTTTAAATAGGAATTAGTTGGCTAAAAAAGAGCAAGGAGGGCTACTACACAGGACCTATACAGCAAAATTTATCCTTTTACCAGCTAGGATAGTGTATCAGTACAAGCAGCTTGTAGTCAGCTACCTTTGGTTAGGTGTTTGTGAGTCCTGTCAAAGCACAGCCTGGCTGTGAGAAAGCTCATTGGACCCAGGAAGAGCAAATTTATGAGTTTTACTGCACTTGAATACACACTTTGCTTCCTTTGTGCCATTATTTTGTGACACTGGTCACTGAAGGGCTTCTGGACATAAGCATGATGTGGTAAACTTAACTGAAAGTTCTTTGAAAAGTGTTTTATGCCATCATAGTTTTAAATCTCAGTTGTAGGGCACAATTGTACTAAAACCCTCCTGTAAGGGTTTATGCTCTTACTGCCAAACCTGGGACATGAAAATTGTAGGACCTCAGATAACTGCCCTGTAAAACAGGAATACAAAACCAGCCAGGGAAGGGGCAGTGGAGCCTTAAGATTTAAAACATATTTCTTGTATGTTCCTCTCGTAAGAGGGAAGGGAAGGGAAGGGAAGGGAAGGG